CATAGGTAATTTACAAAAATAAATACATAAATAAATAAATAAATATTGTGTACAAATCACACCACATATGTGTAACTTTGGTGAAAAAACAAAAAACAAAACTTACTTTGGTGATCAAAATACCTTCACTTGATATGTTACCAAAAAAAGATCCAGGAAGATCATCTGTGCTTCTGTAATGCACTCATTTGTGAAATCAACAAAAAGAAGAAAATTAAAAAAATAACATACAATAATAGTTGAATTTTCTTTCTAAGATAACCCATCAAATATATTTTCCATTCACCATTAATTTGTTAGGCCTGAAGTTGCCGATCTCAGGTGCTACAATTTTTTTATGTTTATATTAGGGCTACACAAAACTGTATATCGCTGTATTATTGCAATTACAATAATAATACTGCTATGACGATCGCGTCAGCCCCAACGTCAGACACGGCCTTTGTCAACCGTTGACGCTGAAACCCCGTGAGAATGGGGCGTTACGTGACACTCAATAAAAACAAGACTCGCCAAAGAACTGTGTGTGCTATGTTTATATTGCTGGTAATCAGTCCAGCATGAGCTTACAGCTGTATGTGTGTAATTAGGGGGAATCAGAAACTGGTGTGAGAGGTGCATAATTGGAGTTGTAGTTTATAAAAATAGCAAATGTTCAGTTCTCCAGCAATCTGCATAGGCTAGATCGCTGGTCATAGTGACACATAGAGCTGAAAACTCTTAAGACAAGAGAAAAAAATGACTACAGCCAATTAGTCAGAATATCTGCTAAAGGTTTCGCTCTTAAGATGTTTGTACCTTGACACAGTTTTTTTTGTCTTACTTAGAATTAATTAGATCTGAAAAAATATATTTTATTTTTTTTAGATCTGAAAAATATATACAACAACAACCCTATTTATACATACATGCACGCACGCACACACACATATGCAAGCACACACACACATGTCCCTATAGGTTAAGCGGATCTTATGTATAATTCAAGATGTGTTTATTATGTTTAGCACTAAGGATTTTCTTAAATTGCAGTTAAAACCAGCAAAGGGCACTTTTTAATGTGTTTATGTGTTTAGGGCATGTTTTTAACTGTTACAGAAGATGCCAGAAACAGGGTTATTTTAATTAAGGTCTAATAATAATAATAATCATTATTAATAATAATAAATCATTTTATTTATAAATGGTGCCTTTCTACTAGACACCCACGGTTGCCTTACAACAAACATGCCATGCCAATCTTAATGTCAAGATATGTCATCATAACATACTACTTACAAAATGGCAATTTATTTTGCAAGAATTTTTCAGAAACATGGTTTTTTCCCCTCAAGTAAAGGAACAAGTTGTACTCTTTATATCAGCCTCAATTATGTGTTATAACTCTTTAGGACTTTAATATAGCACTGTTTACAAAGTCAACAATTAGTGGAAAAGTCTGTCAGTCGACGCTGGCTCTGCTTGCCGTGTGCTCCTCGTTTGATTGTAAAGTCACTCATTCCACTGGGGTTAGTACAAGAGGGTTAGGTAAAACACTAGTTCTGTATCTGGTTGTAACACGGTGAGTGCAGAAAAAAACAAAACATTTGGTCTCCCGGTGGGCCAGAAAAAATATGACTAGAGTTTATATTCCCCTTTCATTTATTTCTTTGGTCTTAAGTTGCACTGACACAAATGTATTAGTGTTCTGTAATGCCTCCATCATTTGACCCATGAAGTAGTTACAATAAACTATTTCTCTGGCGTATAAGGAGAGATCTCCAAACAAGATCTTTCATCCCAGATTTATTAAATGAAACAAGGCTGTTTTGGACAGAAGCCTCATTTATTAGGGATTTCATAACACGAGGCCATGATCAGATGTCTGTTTGGGATATTATGATAAGGCTCCTAATCCAACTGTTGCAACACATACTGCAGATCATATACAATTAACATTAAGTTGAGTAAGGCACTAAGGCAGACAGATTTCACTTAACTGTTATTCTTCCAGGTCTTGTCAATACAGTGTAATAGAATCATTTTAACTGTCAATAAATCTGATTGGGTGAGGAAAAAAAAAATCTTCAAATAAACATTACTAATTTCGACCTGCAACAACAAAACTAGTCCAGTAAACAGAATTTCATTGTTTTATTTGTCTTGTTTATTATTAACTAATAAACAAATGTAATAACTGACCAATCACAATTATTAACACAACTGGCTGTTTTTGCTTCTTATTTAGAACATTATTTATGGTGGCCAAGAGAGCTTAAACATGCAAAAAGTCAGACCCCCTATTTTTTCGCCATTCCACAATCCCTGAATTCAATGCAAATGCAACAAAAAGTCACAAATTTTTGTGATGCTGCAAAATATTTAATTAAACGCAAAATAATCTTAAAAAATTTAAGTAATCTCATGAAAACATCCAATTCCAAACCATTTAATCAAAGTATATTAATTTCAGTTAGCAATTTATTGTTTTACGTGATTTATAGACATTGTATATATGCAGCGTACGTAATCAATTTGAGTGTCTCTCGAAAAATTACATCTCACCTGCGCCCTCACAATCATTACATTACATGAGAGTGGGGGAATTGTTTTTGTAGCCTGTGCAGTAAGCAGATGCAGATGAAGCACGTAATTTACATTTGAAGTCAATGCATAGATTGGATTAGGCATCCTGTGACGTGAATAGGGTGTTTTGTGCACTTGACGCGTGTCAGACTTCAAAAGAAAGTTTGAGCACACATCTGTCAAACAGAGCAGTGGAACAGACAGAACAGCAAGCAGCTTACAATGATGGACGTGACAGAATTGAAGGACATTATTTGTGCTTTACATGTCTGACTGGTATTATGGTGTGGGTGAAATAAAATGCTATAAATATTTTTGTGTAACTCTTTTCCTGCAGTTTACAAGTGAAAACGCTACTCTGCCATTGATTAGTTTTACGGGAATTTGTGTTTTAGGTGTATTAAGGTAACGAATCTCCTGAGTGTGGTACCTGATGTCAGATGCTCTGGGGAGTGAAACCTGAGAGAAAGTTGTGGATATAAATAAAAGTTGTACAACCTTCCTTTAGCTTAATACCATTTTAAATGTGTTTTGGACCTTGTCTTGACAAGAGACCAAAATAAAGAAGCTTTATTTTTATGATTTGTGTCATTGTTATTGTGTCAGATTGCACATCTAACATAGTAGCCCATCTAATATGGTAAATAATATATCAATACTATTATTCTAGGTCATTTAAGGCTGGTAGCTTGAGTGCTAATGATTGTCACCTGTGCGCGCCACCTGTCTCAAGTCTCACAAATGAGCTCTGGATCTTAAAAGGAGGAAGGAGAGCAGTGGAAGACGAGAGAGGACATGGTCTTGTTTTGCTTTCAGTTTGGTGGAACTGCCACCTGTTTGATTTGGTTTTTCATTATTAAACTTATTTAAACGTTTGTTAGTTCTCTGCCTAGTTCTCTTTCTAAAATGCAAAATACACGTGTCAGTGTATACATCTGCAATGTTTTGAGCTTATCTATTTTCAAACAATATATGTGGACCAAAGGACTGGAACATTCATACGTATTTTGTTAATACTGTCTGTACTAATAAAAATGATAAAGCATATTTGACATATTGTTGCATTTTAAAAACTGAATGAATTGTTGAAGTGGTAAACGTTTTCAAATTTACAGTCTTTTTTTTTTTTTTTACCTTTTTACCATATTTACACTCAAAAGAGTTGAATAAAATAACAATATATTGATCTAAAAAAATACACAGAACACCAACATAAAATTTATTTTACACTGGGCGGTGTTAAATATAGTTACATTTTTAACTTTGCCCAGAGTTCAAACAAACCCTTATGTCGGTGTCAATGTGCCAACACTTTTGAAAGTGTTGATCTAATTCTGTTGGGAGTGGACCCCATGAGACACTTTCAAAGTATCGGAATTAACTACCTTAGAGATGTTTTGGGTCCCCATATTTTGCTGTGTATAGTAGGTAGTTGAAAACATTCGGTTGGATTGCTTTAATAGTATAGACAGAGGTCAGAGATTTGTTCCATGTGAGCTGTAATGTTAAACACAGCATCAAAAAACCCCAGAGCCTTACAAAATGTCAGTGGGAAACTTGTGTAAACTCATTCTTCTCTCATTTTTTGAAGTCTCTATGACTGCACCACTTGTCTTACAATCTGTATAAATGAAATGAGAACATATGTTTTATAACTTCTTGGGTCAAAAAAAAAGAAAAAAAAAAAAGAGTAGGAGTTTCCGATATATTTCCTTTTCCTCCCTTCCGGAAAACACTATTGCTGGATGTGTTCATATCTGCAGCGAGAAGTCTTTCATGGCACAAACTGCACATGTGTTGCTCAGTTAGCCAACAGAACACATGTAAAGGTGTTTACATGCCAATATCAGGGCGATGGGCAAAAGCTGTGCCTTAAGCTTGAGTTGTTTATGACCTAACGGCAATAAAACAAAATGGTTTAACACTTTAACATGACCACACATGTTGCTGGCTTATTTGGTATAGTCAGTTTAAGAATGTGCAAGCAAACACAATCTGTGAAAATTGCTGTTAGACAAATTGATTTGCTAGTGTATTTATTTAATGTACTCTAGGAAGAGTTAGAGAGCTGGGCGTACAGGGCATGGTATATATCTATTTGCTATCATTTTTACATTTTTATATTTAAAAAAAAAATCAATAAGTGGGTAAAATAATTTTGTAAAATCCTTATATAGACTTTTTATAATAAAATGTCAAGGTCCAAATGTTGAGGGGGCCACCGAAGGGCAAACCAGTGGCTACTAGTGCGCATGCTCTATTCTTTCTGTGGAAAGAAGACTGAGGTGGCAATATGGCAAGGTGCGAGAGAGAAGGGGGGTTACCCTACAGAGTTTGACACAGTGTGGATTGTGTTCCCATCCTTAAGGAATAGCAGAAATATTCGGGGGGAATCCCATTACGTAGCAAATGGAGTGCTGTAATAATGTACTCACATTCATTTCCCCACTGCGGTTTGCCTCCTCCCGCTCTGCCAGGGCTCTCAGGAAGTTATCTTTGAGTTCCTTTCCTGTACTTGCCAGCTTCCTGGAAAAGACAACATTTAAACAGTTTGAAATGTCTCTTAAAAATCAAGCTTAAATGTTTATGGTTGTTTTATTCTTGCAAGCAAACACTGATGCTTACTCTATTTGATGCTTATGGATCCTAGCAGTAATCTTTTCCACTAAATAAAAGTCTTGTGATTTTGTGTGTAGTTGTTTTATTTACTTTAGGAAAAGTACCTTGTAAAATCACTTTTTAGAAGCGAGATAAATCACAACAACATTTGTTCTTAAAAATATTAAAATATTTGGAAAAGAAATATCCTTCTGACTTAAATTACTATAAATTACACCAAACCCACAAGTAGACTTGTAACAATGATACAGATTATGAAAATATCCTAAATATCTGGTTCCATTAAAAATATGAAATGCGCTGGCTGAAAAATGAAAATAATCTCACGGAGTGATTTCCGACAAAATGATATCTTCATAAAAATAAATCACTCTGCCTCCACCCTAGAACTGCTGGTAATTAATCACAGTGGGAATTGCTATTGAATAATTCCACTCTTGAATTATTATCTCAGTCATTTCAGGAAGACCTTTTCTCTCTCTCTCTCTGTGCTATTTGGCCTGTTTCCATGAAAACAAAGTTCTGGCAAACTGCAGCCTGTACACCTGACATAACACTCATTGGCATTCATCTCTCAGACGTTTCACAGTGCAGTAACAGCAATAGCGCCTTGTCATTCAGCCTGAATTTGCTCAACTTTCATAATGTCTGCAGTATACCCGCAGAATCATCGGCCTGCCAGTAAACAAGTATTTGAGAACTTTTTTTCCTCTCGGGTTCGCACAGAGCAGCAGAGGGTGAAAAGGGCAGCAGAGATTACCCTCTCCTCATATCGCTGAAAGACGTAATACATGCCTCATCAAACTCGATGCATCTTCCAAAAAAAAAAGAGTAAATTGGATTAACCTTTTCTCACCCTCAAGATTGTTATATACAGTTGAAGTCAGAATTTTCAGCCCTCATTTGAATTTCTTTTTGTTTTTAAATATTTTCCAAATAAGTTTAACAGAGCAAGGAAATTTTCACAGTGTGTCTGAGAGTGTTTTTTCTTCTGGAGAAATTCCTAAGTTAAGTCTTTAAATGTCACTTTAAGCTGTATAGAAGTGTCCTAAAACATATCTAGTCAAATATCATGCGCTGTCATCATGGCAGTAATTAAATGAGTTATTAACACTATTATGTTTAGTATGTGTTAAAAATATTTTCTCCATTAAACAGAAATTGGGAAAAAAAGTGAACAGAGGGGAGTAATAATTCATGGGGGCTAATAATTCGCACATGTGAATGTATCTTTTTCACTTTTCCATAAAATAAAAGTAACTTTCGATATCTTTACAAACACATGATTCTGAATAAAATTCACTCCATCAAGGGGCAGAAATTTGCGAATGACTTGCGTATCTCAAATGGAGAAGCTGAAACATTAGCCATTTACAATAAACAGCTAAAGAGGCATCTTTTGTGTCAGTACTTGATATTTTATTACCAGCATCTTCTCCAGCGAAGTTGACCAATTTGTGATCATACAATGTCTAATGTGAAGAATCACGATGGATGATGGCTTATAAATAATTTATTTATTTCTAACCAATTAATTATTTGTAGTCTACCGTTTCAACTACCTGACCCGCACGGTCTTTGTTTTACCAATAAGCAATCAAATCATCAATACATAAAGATAAGTAATACACAGATTAGTACCTGTGTTTATTATTAATATATATATATATATATATATATATATATATATATATATATATATATATATATATATATATATATATATATATATATATATATATTAGGGCTGTCAAATTATTATAAAAATGTACGTAATTAATCACACTTTTTTGTAATAAATCATGATTAATCACGAAACGGCGTATTTATTTCAGAAATAAAAGCACAGGCATTAAATGCCATTTGAATTTCAAAACAATCAATGCCAAGAACAAACAAAAATGATTTCCATGTTGGATTCTAAGTGAACTACACACACAAACACACACACACACAATGGGCGCAGTAAAGCGGACTCGGTGAGCGAGAGAGGGATCCCTTCAGATTCATCAACACGCACGATCACGTTCATCAAATTTGCTTAAAGTATGGCTGTATTTTTTCAAGCCAGGATGTTGACACAGCAAAGTGAACTTATGAAATGTGAGGGCTCATGGACGCAGCTTAAAGGCAGAGAATAGGGCTGTCTTTGACAGCTTGCGACTTCATCTGCCATTTTCACTGAGTACATTTACATGGACACCAATACTCTGCTTTTATTATTAAGATAATACGGATTAAGAGTCTACCATGTAAACAGCGATTTTTCATCACCTGAAAGGATCACGCAAATCCCGAAATGCTGAGGTTTTTCTTTCCGTTCGACATGCCGTATCAAATTCCATTAAAACATCCTGAATGAAAATATGCTGAACTAGGGATGTAACGGTATCAGAATTTCACGGTTCGGTAATACCTCGGTATGAATGTCACGGTACGGTATTTATTGAATCATTTACAGGAAAAAACAAAACTTATGAAAATACTCCAAAAAAGTGCCAAAAGTGTCAATGACATACAAATTAGCCATCTATCTGTAAGCTTTGAAACAGGAACTTCAATTTTAATAACAAAAAAATATTAAACCATGTAAAAAAATAAAGTTTCAATTTAGTATTGTTGAAAACTCATCACATTCAACATTTAATCACTCACTCACTTAGATAGAGATGGGTTTAAAGGAAAATTATCATATAAATATAATCTGGTAAAAGCTGGTATCTCTGGGTATTTACAATGTCCCCTGCAACAGAAAAACCCCTCTCATTTGGGACTGAGGTTTCTGGGACAAGAGAGATATGACTTGGCCCAGGTTGACAGCAGTAGGTAACGTTGTGCATTGTCTTTTCCCCACTTGAGAGGACAAACCATGAGTGAGATAGAGGTCTCATGTCTGCATCAATCTAAACAGTGTGCTGACAACACCGCTATTCAGTACGCGCGCGACAACACAGCTGATAAGAACTCGCGCGACAACACCGCTATTCAGTACGCGCGCGACAACACAGCTGATAAGAACTCGCGCGACAACACCGCTATTCAGTACACGCGCGGCGACAACACCCGCTTTAGAGTTTTCCAGCTCTTTTTGATGCCCGCTTCTAGCAGCACACTCCATTTCCGCATTACTGGATCTGTAGCGACAACAGACCGCAAGGGATGATGGTCAAGCATGGGCTGATGGGAATTGTAGTTTTCGCTACATCCCGTATGCTTCATTCGCCTGAGCAAATTTTCTCAGAAGACCTATAGTTTTACCGAGTCATGCGACTACGGTAATATCGAAAAAAATTAATATTGCGGTATGACGGTATTTACAATACCTGTAACGGAGGTTGAACTGCAGTTAAAGTCTAAAGATTAAAAAGGAAACACCCGAAATTGCATGAAACTCCGGAGGAAATGCAGAATAGCCATGTAATGCGACATTAATTGTTTTATACTGAAACTTTACTTCTTAAAGCACATCCTTGGTCTTATCCAAATTTCTTTGCACGTTAAACACGTGCAGGGCTGGGGCAAGCTGAACTGGCGCTCTAGGCAAGCGACAATCACACCGCCCTCAACCCGAAAGTGAAAAAAAAGTGACCGGTTTGCTGATGAAAGCAAGGACCATGAGTGACAGGGTCGGTGTAGCTGATAAAAGTGAAGACCAGGGGGTTCGCTTAATATTATGCTGCCGAAGGCGGCTGCCTAGGTCACCTTTATGCACACGCCATTCCTGAACACACGTTGGCCATAACAGGAAATAAATAATGCGGTAAATATTTAAAATTAATCTCAAGCCTTTTCATTTTAAGATCCTGCTTAGAAAACCAATAGCAGAATAAAAGTTTTTTTGTACTTGGCCTTTTTTTGCAAAGCGTATACCGTCTACCAGATGGAATTAACTGAAAATTTTTTAAATTAAATTAAATTAAATTAAATTAAATTAAATTAAATTTAATTTAATTTAATTTAATTTAATTTAATTTAATTTAATTTAATTTAATTTAATTTAATTTAATTTTGTTTAGTTTTATTTTGGGAAAGTGTTCATCAATCAATAATAATAAATAAGCCTGAGTTACCACCTAGAGGTAATTTTCATCTGTTGCCCCCTGCTAGATTTTAAAAACTGTGTTGATCCTTAGTCAGTTTGAAAAGCACTGACTGTACCCAGCACCTCTTTCTATGGCAAGCCCAGACGCCAAAACAAATCAGACCCATTTGATTTATGCAGACAGCTGTCTTTTAAAGCAAAGAAATGGTAAGTTGTACTCAGTGTTACTATTATAGACTGTGACTGAGTCTAATGTGCGTCAGTTTAACAGTACTGACTGGCAGTTGAGATTTTGTGAAACGTCAAATAAAAAATGCACATTTCAAAGCGCTTTACAGGATGTTTAACATCATACATACAAGCTTTATTTTTCTTCAAGAACAGGAGCAGTAAAAACACAAATGATCTCATATTTATTCATAAGCAGGTGACCTGTAATGATGCCTATTTGTTATCTGTCATTGACAGCGGCTGTGAAATCAAAAAGTTACGCACCTGTAATGGCCTGAAGACATAATAATCCTGATGAGCCCCCCGTACCCCTCCTCCCCTCAGGCCATACTCCGGTTACAGGGTGGCAGGTGGGGGGGCTTTTACAAACAGGCTGGCTGCTTAGAAAGGATTTAACAGACCATGATGCACTTGGGGCCCTGCTCTGTTTATTCTGGATGATGAAAAGAAACTGGGGGGAAAAGCTCTAAGTAAATGGAACACACACATGACATTTATTTTGGTCAACTACTTGGCTGCCTGTAGTTCATAAACGTGCAGCCGGACGCCAGGCACTGCAATACTAGCACGAGAAGCCTTTGTTACAGTTTCTTGGTGAATGCAAGACCAGGGCCATAATACTGTCAGAAGTGAT